AGCTGTAATCCTAATGGGTTTTCCTTTATATGTGACTTGTTTCTCTTTTGCAGCTTTCAGTATTGTCTCTTTGTTTTGTACATTTAGTGTTTTTACTATGATGTGCCATGGAGAGTTTCTTTTCTGGTCCTCTCTGTTTGGTGTTCTATATGCTTCTTGTATTTGTATGGGCATGTCTTTCTTTAATTTTGGGAAATTTTCTTCCACAATTCTTTTGAAGATCTGGTCCATGCCATTATCTTGGGATTTTTCTCCTTCTTGTGTGCCTATGATTCATAAGTTTGGTCTTTTAATGGTGTCACACAATTCCTGCATATTCCATTCTTGTGCTTTCTTAAATTTTTCATAATCTTTGCTTGAGTGGTCTAGTTCGTCCTCTTTATCTTCCAGTGTTGATACTCTGTTTTCCATTGGTGGCTGTGCCACCCAGAGATGCAAAGGGAAATGGGGGTGGGAATCAGTCCCAAGGGTTCCTGGGGACTGCACTGAGGAACTGGGTTGGTCTGGGTGCAAATGATCAGGAAGAGGAAAGGTCAGCCCTGGAGTCCAGGAAAGAGGCTGGTGGGTTGTGCCGACCAGGGAAGCAGAGGGAGGTGAGGGCCGGGCTAGGCCCAGAGGGCTCCTGGGGGGTCCCAGAAGGAACTGAGTTGGTCTGGATGCAAACGATCAGGAAGCAGTGGTGGTTCCCCAGGTGCCTGCGGCACCGAGACAAGGAATAGGACAGGTCCCAGGCTAGGAGGAGAGACAGATGGGGAGATAGGAGGGTGAATGAGACTCGGGGAGTCAAGGTGCAGAGGGTGTGATCAACTTACCCCAGAGAGAGGCCTGCCAGTAGGAGAGGGAACTTTTTTTTTTTTTTTTAAATAAGATCCAATTCTGCCGTCTTGATTTCCCCCCACTAATTCTGTCTTTGTATTACTTTTACATTTTATTAATTAGATAACTCACAGATGAATGCATTTAAATAAATATTACCTATTACAGGGCTGGAGAGATGGCTCAGCAGTTAAGAACACTGGTTGTTCTTGCAGAAGACCTGGGTTCGAATCCCAGCACCCACATGGCAGCTAACAACTATCTGTAACTCCAGTTCCGGGGATCTGATGGCCTCTTCTGTCCTCTGTGGGTATTGCACAACACAGGTGCACTTGCATACATGCAGGCAATACACTTGTACACATAAAATAAAAATAATATATTGAAAAAAATAATACATATGACATATAGAATTAAATCTGCTCTAATCACCATTCCAAACATCTGTTTTTCTGTTGCCTTTTTCTCTAGAGAGGCTGACTAGATTCACCAGATGGACAAGTAGTGGGGAAAGGCTGGGGTGACATCACAGTGGACAGTAGCAGGGATAACAGAGTATAAGGGCTCTAGTGGGGGGAGGGAGGCTATGCAGGAGGGAGCCATCTGGGAAGTGGGTATATAGATAAATAATGTTGTGTGGGATGTTCTGTATGATACACCAAAAAAAAAATCAACAAATTAAAAAAAATTAATTATATTTGAGGAGGAATCATAAAAATTTACATCATGTTAATTAGTAGAGGTGATAAACATTACCATTGAAATCTACCCAATGACTTTATAGACATACACAGTTGCCAGGTGCGGGGGATTCGAGCCTGCGACCCCCCGCGCAAGGATGACTGGGGATGAGTAAGTGTGCCGTTCACCAGCCCTTGTCGCCCCCAGCACCAGGAACAATCAGATGCAATGGGGAGTCTAGTCAAGCAGGAGCTCATTTATTGCAGGTGTTACAGAGCTTATAAACACATCTGGAAATCCCCCTCCCCCCTGAGGGTGTGTCTTAAGGATGATCATGCGCTGATCATGCACTCCTCAGCAGTGCGGAAGTATCCATCGGACTTTCAAAACAAGTCAGGCGGCGCCCCAGTAACTTCCTCTCAGCATCACCTTGGCAAGACGGGGCCTTTAGGTCCCCACACCAGGGATCTGAGTGCAACCAATTATACTAGTAATAATCAGATACATACAGATTAGAGATGAACGTGCCAACATCTCAGTGTTATGAGCAAAAACAATGAGTCTTTCTGTAAGAAACAGTATATTTTAAAATGAAGTGGAGATCTTTTTTAAAGGTTAAAAACTCATTCAGTTTTATGTTTTACAGGGCTTATACTGAGTTCAATATTGTATAACTGTATTAATTCAACAGCAAACCTAGAAACTTACAGCCACTTTTGAAAGAGTTGTATCTTTGCTCTGGAAACTGTTATTGAGTATGTTAAAGCTGTAATGAAATCCTTCTTCTAAAAAAAATTGTATATGACATATAGTATCAAATCTCCTGTAATCACCACTCCAAACATCTGTTTTTAATCTGGTGCCTTTTTCTCATCACGTGAACACATTTTAGTACAATTATTTCTCTTATCATATCATTATTAAATCTTTATTTTGATAAAGTAAAATATGCCTATAGTTTAAAATCAAAATAGTGCTAAAAAGGATAATAACATAACAATCCCTTGACATCTGGAGGCTTTCAAAATGATTTTCAAATCTTGTGGCTTTTTCTTCAGACAGTTAAAAATCTGTAGTTAATGATAGCTATCTGTGACTACCCGAATTGTCCATTTCTTGACATTGTCCATGGACTGTCATGGAGATACGGAATTTAGCTTCTTTTTATCCCTCTGACATGTCTACCCTCTTCCCAACTTGGCACACCACAATATAAGCATCTGTAATATTTTATGAAAATATTTTTTCCTTTAGAGCTGAACACTCTCTATAGTACCTTTACTTCCTTGAATGATGTTTATTTTTCCTTAAGCTAAAACTTCACTGTTTAAAAGAAAAATAATATTGATTGTCCTTAAATGTATGACTAATGCCTTCTGTATCTGAACACAGACATTTCCCTATGGTCAAATGAGTCAGTGCTGGGGACTGAACCCAAGGCCTGTTTTATTCTAGATACATGTTCTGCCACTGAGATAGCCCCAAATTGCTTTTCAGTCACAAAAGGAAATTCACTCATTTAACTGAAGTCATGGAGGTTAGATTTGCTCCCTCTTCTCACTCCTCACCCCAAATGCTGCTTTTTCCGGGTTGATGACCTTCTCTGAGACTCACTCTGTGCTGTGGTAAGAGAGGGCATTGGCTTCAAGATTAGCTGGCCAGCTGCAGGAGTGAATCTGACTCCCTAATACAGGGAGAACAGCATTGGGTGGGGCAACCTGTATCACCTTGAACACTGGTACAGTTAGATGTCCCATGAGCAGTGTGAGGACACTGGAGGATGGGTTTATCGACAAAAAACATTTCAGGTTTGCATTATAGAGTATTTCTCTGGCTGCTGGTGAAGAGTGCTTTGTGTGCCCAGGAGTGCAGGGAGAATGGATGCAGGGGCCTGATAGGATGCCACAGCAGGAGGCCAGGACAGGGGAGGAGTTAAGTGGGTCTAAGATACTGGTGATAGAGGCAGTTTAGGATGTAAAATATGTAAGATCAGGATCTGATTGAATGTGAGTGTTGAACATACCTTTCTTTGTGTTTGTTTTGTTGTTGTTGTTTTGTTTTTGAGACAGGGTCTCCTATAGCTCAGCCTGTCCTTGACCTCACTGTGTAGCTGAGGATGACCTTGAGCTTCTGATTCTCCAGCCTGTTCCTCCTGAGCACTGAGATTGTAGGAATAAGCCACCATACTCAGTTTATATGGTGGGAATCGAACCTCTGGCTTTATGCATTCTAGGCGAGCACTCTACCAATTGAGCTACTGAAACTTTCTTGACTCCTTTATTTCTTACCTGTTATCCCTAAGTCAAGTCAAAGCTATGTAGCTTTCTCCTCATTCTTATCACTAAAAACCCAAAGCAATAAAACTCCAGAATGGCACCTGAATGTGTGTGATGAGTGCTGCTCCATGATCCTCAAGTGTCCCTTCCCAAGCCCTTGCCACAGTCTTCTTAGATGGAGTGATTATTATCCTTATTTTAGAGCTGAAGGAATGAGGTAAAAAGAAGGGATGTTACCTGTCCAGACTTATGCAAGGTCATGTGCCAGGAATGAAGGAACCCCGAAACAGTGGAATTGGGAGTGTAGTTTCTAGGGTGTTGAAGACTTGAAGGTGCTGGGAGGCAGCTCACCTGCAGAGGTCACAGATGCCCCACATCCCCTGACCTGTGTCTTGTCCATAGGCTCTTCCTGGGTTGTCTCCTTTGTAATGCACTGGTAATAGTAAGTAAACTGTTTCCTTGAATTCTTTGAGTCATTCTAGCAAATTATGGAGGCTGAGAGGAGTCACAAGGACCCCAGAATTGGTAGTGAGCTAGAAAAGACATATGAGTAGCCTGGACTTCCAAAGTGGGGCAGTCTGGTAGAGCTGAACCCTTTAACTTGTGGGCAAATCATGTTAGCACTGAATTGAATTCATGGGTGCCCATCTGGTGTTCAAGAATTGGGGAACTGAACTTGATGTGGTGGTACATGCCTTTAATTCCAGCACTCAGGAGGCAGACAAAGGCAGGCAGATCTCTGTAAGTTTGAGGCTAGCCTGGTTTGTTTACTGAATTCTAGTCTATCCAGGGCTGCATTGTGAGACCTTGTCTAAAAAAATTTTTTTTAAAGAATTGGGAAGTTAGTTGCCATGAACAGTACCCCTATTCATATAGTGCATCAGAAAAAACCTGACCTCTAGACATTTAGGGATGCTTAGACGTATGAATCTATGAGTTAATTTCTGAGATTCCTGAAGATGTGGGTGATTTTATAAAAAGGATTTTCTCTCCTGCATGGATGCTCTGTTGTTTGTTTGGAAATGATTCAGACTTCATGTTATTGCTCTTCCTTGACCCCTCTCCATTCCCTTTTTCACTCCTACTCTACCCCCCAAAAGAACCTCCATTACATCTCTGTACTGGACTCTTGTGGACCTCGAGTACCATCGCAGGGACAGGAAACCAGGGACTGCTGGTTTTCTCTGTGACCAGTGTGGAAACTGACTGTTCTCCTTTTGTTTACAGAACACTTTTAACATCACAACCAGGAAAGTTTCTCTGGATGTATTTCTGCCCAATGGAAGGGGCATTAAAGTGGAAATTCTAACATCAGATACAGCTGAAAGAGTCCTAGAGGTAAACTTTGTGTAGACTCTACTTCCAGACCAAGATGTTGGGACAGTTCTTGTAAAACAGGGACTGCAATGTGGTTACCTTCCAGAAGCTTCCTGCCTATCATTTTACTCTATGGCTGACTTATCTGTAGCGGTGCTGGGATTTCTTGGGATACCTACCAAGGAACCTGAGCTATAGCCCATCTTCCAGGGTCTCTGTGATTTTTACCCTTCCTGTGGGCATCAGTTCTCTTGAGACCTCTGAGGGTTCTTGTAAGGCTGTGGCTACTTCCCTGGTAATCACCAGGCTGGATCCTGGCAATGTGCAGAAAGCTCTGTCCCAGAATGCTACATGGATAGAGGAGGAAGGAGAGTGGTGCCTGGCAATCTGGAATAGGCCATATCCAGGTAGGTAGTGGTAGTGTACAGCTGTGACTCCTCGCATCTCAGTGGATCAGGAAGCTGAGACTGACAGGTTATTTCTCAAAGGCCTCTTCTCCTATATGTAGAAAGCCCCTAAAGCCACACTCCCTCAGGTCTAATGTTGAGCACCAAGGGCCAGACAAGCTTGGGTCATTTTGAGCATGACAAGGGTGAGACCCTGAGAGCATCCTCTCTCCTTCAGATGTGGCATCACCAGCTCTGCCTCCCATCCTTTACCCTTCTGCCCAGCTGGCCTGCAGAGGAAATGGTGCCTTCTCAAGCCCACTCTAGGGGCAGGGCTAGATGGGGAGTCAGATGATCTGTGGTCCCTACCAAGGGAAAGTGAATGGCGGTATACTCCATTGTTGTGAGGACACTCTCTGTGGTAAAGATGAAACTGTTGATGTTAAGATGAAAGCCAGCTGATGTCCAAGTCAAAGAGGAATGTGAAATGAAGGCAGCCTGGGCTTGGGATTGGAAGTTTTCCTAGAGCCAAGGTCATAGCAGATTACAATTGATGGGATCTCATTTGCACTGAACCAAGGCCACAGAAAATTGCACTTAACCGTGGTAGGAAGCATCAAAGAGAAGCAGGCCTGGGTGTCAAAGGGGAATGCCAACAAATACATTTTTGTAGGCCCTCTGAGTAATGGGAAATGGCTCCTTACCCAGGGCATGGTAAGCCAGCCTACAGGAACGGAGACTGCCATGCAAGGCCTACGGCTACATGCTGTAGAAGGATAGATGTTTGTGGAAAATGCTGCTGCTTCCCCTCAAGGGACAATAGACACTTAAACAATCCAGAACATGTGTCCACACCCAAGATAGGACAGCCAGCCTCAGTGGAGGCCAGTCTCTGTCCACTGAGGTGGGCTTGGATTTTATTTTTTTCAGTCTAAATTTTTTATGTTCTAAGGTTTCTAGAATGAATATTGTGTTAGCTGTTTTTCTCATTGCTGTGACAGGATACCTGACAGAAACAATTTAAAGGAGAAGGGATTTATTTTGGCTCACAGTTTAAGAGGGTGCAGTCTATCATGGTGGGGAAGTCTTGGTAGAGCTGATGGTGGGAGTGTACAGCGGTGATTCCTCACATCTCAGTGGATCAGGAAGCAGAGAATCTGGGTCAGAAGTGAAGCTGGACTATAACCTTTAAGCCCCATACCTGTGGTCTTATGTCTACCAGCTAAGTTTCATGGCTAAAAGTTTCCACAACTTTCAAATGCAGAGCCAACAGCTGGCAACCAAGAGTTCAGATGCATGGAGACATTTCAGATTCAAACTCTAATAAGTCTGTACCATTTTTAGATTCTAAAATGTTTCCTTGAATGTCTACTGACCTGCAGAAGCACTTGTGGTATGCATTAGCCACTTTCAGTCCTTCACATTACAGTTGAGAAGTGTGGTTATCATCCTAACATTTCCCCTTTTGCTTATTTCTGGTTAAAGGTGGTATCACACAAACTTGGACTGCATCCAGAGCTCTTGGGCTACTTTGGCCTCTTTCTTATTCGGTGTTTCAAGGAAGGAAAACTCTCTGGTAAGAAAGAAAAGGGGAAGCCAGGAAATGGAGTGGTATGAACAAGGGCTTGGCCCAGAGGTGTGGGAGGTACCACTGAAGGACCAGCCACTCCTCGGGTGTGGTGCCTGCTACTGTTCTCAGCCCTGGATCAAAGGGTTAGGGAATGGACGGTTTTGTCCTTGTTCAGACTGAGTTGGGCAAGCAGCCCCAGAGGCACTATGTCAGTTTAACTTCATGTTATTGTGAGACCATGCCTGATGGAAACAACATAAGGAAGAATTATTTTTCTCATAGTTTCTCATGACAGAGAGGAGTAGAACTGACTGTTCAACTTATAGCAGCCAGCAAGCAGAACAGAGCAGTTCACATCATGACAGACATGAAGTAGAACAGAGCAGTTCACATCATGGCAGACAGGAAGCAGAACAGAGCAGTTCACATCATGGAAGACAGGAAGCAGAACAGAGCAGTTCACATCATGGCAGACAGGAAGCAGAACAGAATGATTCACATCATGGCAGACAGGAAGCAGAACAGACAGTTCACATCATGGCAGACAGGAAGCAGAACAGAATGATTCACATCATGGCAGACAGGAAGCAGAACAGAATGATTCACATCATGGTAGACAGGAAGCAGAACAGAGCAGTTCACATCATGGCAGACAGGAAGCAGAACAGAATGATTCACATCATGGCAGACAGGAAGCAGAATAGACAGTTCACATCATGGCAGACAGGAAGCAGAACAGAGGAGTTCACATCATGGCAGACAGGAAGCAGAACAGAGCAGTTCACATCATGACAGACAGGAAGCAGAGTGCAAAGAATAGAAGAGGAAGCCTGGACAAGGAAAAGTCAGCAAAGATACATCCTTGGAAGTTTACTTTTTCCAACTAGGCCCCACTTCCTGCCAGTAATGCCATCATATTATGAACCCATCAAGGGATTAAGCCATGTATTATGCCATAGCCTTTATGATGTAACCATGTCTGAAAATGACATCAAAAACATGCCCAGAGATATTCTTTATTCTCCTAGGCTTTCCTCAGTGTAGTTAAACTGACAAGATTAGCCATCACACACACACACACACACACACACACACACACACACACACAGAGAGAGAGAGAGAGAGAGAGAGAGAGAGATTAACTATCATATGTGATATGGTCAAAAAATCTCAGGTTGGTTCAATACCTGCACTTTCTCTTGCGTCTACTGTGGTCTCAATCTTGGTTATCCCATCACTTTTACCCCTGGCCTGGCTGCTGGCTACACCATGACCTCCTAGTAGATAGTGTTAGACTCCTGATATCAAGAGATCCCACCACCATGCACTGCCTCCTTATAAAGGAATATTTGTTATAAAATACAAATGATTTATGCATTCTTAGATTCTTTAAAGAAATCCTAATGGAAGAGTAGATGATGACAGCTCAGGGGCTGGAGAGATGGCTTAGCAGTTAAGAGCACTGACTGTTCTTTTAGAAGACCTGGGTTTGAATCCCAGCACCCATATGGCAGCTATCAACTGTCTATAACTTCAATTCCAGGGGATCCAAAGCCCTCTTCTGACCTCCGGGGGCACTGCACAACACGGGTGCATTTACATACATGCAGGCAAAACACTAATACACATAAAATAAAAATAAATAAATAATTAAATAGTTTAAAAAAATAGATGAGAGTCCCACACCAGGGCTTTTTCTTCCTCTCCCCTGCATTCTAGACAATGCAAGCCTTTCTTAACTGTGAAAGGGTATCATTTACTTTAAGCAGTGGGAAAGTGGTTTTGAGTTGGAAATCAAAGGGCTTGGATAAGCTGTACCATAGGGTAAAATATCCTACTCAAGGGGCTGGGATTTGATGGAAATAAAATATTATTGATTTTTGAATGAATTTTAGACATTAAAAATACATATATAGCCGGGCGTGGTGGTGCATGCCTTTAATCCCAGCACTTGGGAGGCAGAGACAGGAGGATCTCTGTGAGTTTGAGGCCAGCATGGTCTACAGAGCGAGTTCCAGGCAGCTAGAGCTACAGGGAGACCCTGTCTCAAAAAGACCAAAAAAAAAAAAAAATACATATACATATACATGCGAGAGAATATTTTTGTCCCCTCACTCAATTATATTGCCTTACTTTCTCATTTGAAATCTTCTGTATATAAACTGAGTGCTGTTTCAATCAGTAAGACTGACTGTCATGAGGCCACTATGCCAGAAACATAAGACAAGTATGTTAGTGTCTTTGGATGTCAGAATTTATTGAATAATAATAAATTCATAATGGCAGAAATTTGCCAGATTATACTGCCTACTCTGGAAATCTGGCCAAGGTAAACACCAGTTCTTTTATTCCAACCAATCTTAATTACTAATATTAACTCATATCACACAGCAAATAGCACACAGTAAATTTCTCTCTGTGGGCCAGGCGTGGTGGTGCATGCCTTCATTCCCAGCACTTGGGAGGCAGAGGCAGGTGGGTCTCTGTGAATTCAAGGCCAGTCTGGACTACATAGTGAGTTCCAGGCCAGCTGGGGCTACAGGGAGACCCTGTTTCAAAAAGACGCCAAAAAAAAAAATTCTCTCTGTATATATGCATATATGTGGTTTACATAATGACTATAAGTTAAAGAGGCTATAGCTGAGTTCGAGAGACTTCAGAAATGGACCGAGAGAAATTCAATAGAGTCTGTATTGACAAGATAACAAACCCCAAACAACTTCAGGACAGAAGCTGTTGTTGTAGCGGTCAGGCCATAGGAGAGTCAGGGTTGAGAGTGACTTCTACAAAGAAGACAGGACAGAACCAAGCTTGGAGCAGGAAGATCTAGATCCACATGAGTGTGCGGGAACAGGTAGATGGTCAGATGGCAGTGGATTAGGCTGCAGTAGCAGTGGGGAACTGAGTCTACCTGAAGCCCCAGGCATAGTCGGAGTTCTTTCCCTGTAGGTCCTTGAAGCACACACTGAGATGACAGGTTGGTGTCGGGCCATTGGCATCACAGTACTAAGTGTCCATCACTTTATGAGACCCAGTTAAGGGAGTTACGCCCTTTCCTTGGTCTGGTGTATCAGAGAGGTTCTTGGGCCTATTTTTTTCTGATAAGATTTTTAATATGCCCAGCTACCTCTACACTTTCAATTTACCTCACCTCAATAAATTCATATTTTTACTACCAAGAAAAAGTCATTTATCAGTCTGTGCTACATGGACAGTGTTGTTATTTGGCCACCTAAGAGCAGAGTCATTCTCCACTCTCAAAATGGAATCAAAAGCTGCTTGTAAAACGAAGTCTCTCAAGGCTAGACACAGCCTGAAAACCCACCATGTTACATAATATAAAGTAACTTAGAGTAGAGTGTAGCCTGATCTCAGCACTGCCTTTCCCCTTCTCTAGTCGTGAAGAAGTTGGTGGACTTTGAACTACCTTACGTTAGTCTTCAGAATTCTGAAGTGGAAAACTGTAAGGTTGGACTCAGAAAGTGGTGAGTACTTGCAGTGTCAGAAGCCATTGCAGGTCAGAACTTAACAGTTTTACCACATCCTGCCCACAGCCTAACAGCCAGAGAGAGAGAGACCAAGAACATGGGGAGGGCTCTGAGGGGAGCAATGAAAAAGATAGGGGTGGCATGAACCAGAATATTTGTCTTAATGTAGAGGGTGTTGAGGATGACACTCTCTGACCACAAGCAAGTCCTGCATGGGGGGGGGGATTGTAATAAAGATGTTGGTCCCCCACTGTTTATCTCTATTGAGAGACAAAGGAGAAGGCAAAACTGGAGGATTAGAACAGATACTGGCAAGAAGATGCTAGCCAATGCTTTGTTCTGGGATGAAATTATTGGCTGTGGTAATTGAAAGATTTGTTGATAATTACACTTTGTTGATGACTCATCTATTGAACTGTGGTAGTCCCTGGAGGCAAAAGGGGGAACTCAGCCAATGAGCAGTGAATTTGAACTCTTAGACATTCAGTTTATACTCCTAAAGGATACCACCCATGTTCCTAGATTAAGAGGACAGGAGTGTCTCTCTGCAATAAGTATTGCTATTTTCCTGGGACTAGGAGTCCCAGGGAGAATAACCAAAGAGAAGCATCAAAACAAGAATTAGCATACATGCCAAGCCCAACCCTACAATATTTATCACCTAGCATTTATGACCATAACTGTGTTGAATTGTTACTTGGGTTGATTCTCTCCAGCTCAGTTATTTTGTAATCTGAGCACGAGAGCTTTACAGAAAAGACATTCTGAAATCTAGGATTAGTGGTTTGCTTGACGTGGTAATGTTTTGTTAGGGCTCTAGCTTGTGGCTTTTTTTTTGAAGAGATTCCTAGTTATTCAGAAGCTTTTTGAGAAATCATCAAAATCTTGTGGCTCTGAGAAGGGGCAAGGACCCCACTTCCATTTAAGGTGTAGGCAATAATGCTTCCAATACTGGATGGCTAAGCATGGTTGCTCCTGGGATGAGCATATGTGAGTCTAAGCCCTAGCTTGCCAAGGTCATAGCCAAGTCACTCAAGCTCTCTAAGCCTTGGTTTATTTATTTGTAAAATGGGAAAAATAATAGTGCCTACTTGCTAGGATTATTATGAGAATGAAAGTAATCTGATCTACTCAATAAATTTTAGTCATATTGTCATATTGATTGATGATAATGATTGTACCAACAACCACAGGAAATCGCTAGGCTTACACTTCTCAAACTCATGTGCTTTTCCTGAGAACAGGAGATCAAAGGAGAGGTGAGAATTCTGTTCCTCATCTGGAAGCTTGAATTAGACATTAGGTATTGTCTTGTCTTTGTTGAATAGGTGCATACTAGATGGCACGTGCAAGGTAACAAGCCAGCACCTCCATCTAGCAGATTGCCTTTCCTGATGGAAAGGAAAGAAGGCCCACTGCTGTTGTTGAAGCTGAGGGTTGATATCTGGAAGGGAACAATATGATATAACAACCTGGGTGCTTTGTTCTCTTTCCAGAGATCTTAGAGTGAAAATATGGTGGCCAGCTCCAAGAGCTGCATGGTTCTAGTGGGTAAGATGTTTCAGCAAGGCCTAGAAGGAGTTTTAAGGACTTTTTTTCCTCTCACTTCTCTGAGTTCATCTCTTCCAGTGACGACATGGTTCCCTCTAGACCAGAAGGTTGGCCGTGGCCCCTCAGAGCCCCAGTCTGGAATGGGACTCGGGGCTGTCCAACTGTGATGATTCCCAGCCACATGGAGGCCTCTAAAGTGTGTGGACACATAGCTAGATGGAAAGTCAGTTGGAATGCTTTAGTTGCTTCCCTCCATCCTCAGAAGGAACTTGACTTTCAAAGTCCCATTTTCATCTTTTTATAGGTCTCAACCAACCCACAGTCTAAGTCATGCTATGTTTCTGAGCATAGTAACTGCTTGCCTCCTGGTGGGCTGTAGATTAGCCATCTCTCCACCTTCCATTTCTGTGCATTTTCCATGTGCTGCTGTGCTACATTCAATTCTTTCTGGTGATTCTGGTCTGACAGACATGGAGCACCTACTACTTGCAAGTTGCTCTGCTGAGGCCCAGAGAGGCATGTCTAGGCTTAAGGACTAGACCATGTCTAGTGTCAAGACAAGTTGATCATGCAGTGATTGGGATAAGCTTAGGGTGCTGAGAAAGCACAGAGGAGAGGGGTTGCTAGCATAGCCTGGGGGACAGGGACCAGGGGATGATGCAAAGCAGGCTTGCTGAGAAAGGGGTGAGTCAGGGAAGGAAGGTGCTAAGGAAGTGGCCTTCCATGCAGGAGGAGAGAGAATGCATGGTTGCTGGAGTGGAGGTAGACCAGATGGAAGGGAAATGAGAGGGGAGTTATCCCACAGTTTCTCAGACATAGAGGCTAAGCAATCCAACTCCCGCAAGTTGAGAGTGGAAGTGCTGTTTAGGAAAGGCCACTGCAGTAGAAACATGGAGTGGGAGAGTGGCCTAGAAGCCTGGGGAGGAAGCTCCCTGAACAACTCCAGGGATGGATGAGGGTGGCAAAGTATAGGGTGGTGAGTGTGGATGTGGTTATATGTGGGGCAGGTGGCCAGGCTAGGTATATGGGGTGAGGAAAGGAATTCAGAACTTGATGACCAAGACAGAGGCTGAGTGTCAACTCCCCTAAAGCCGTGTGTGTGTGTGTGTGTGTGTGTGTGTGTTTGTGTGTGTGTGTGTGTGTGTGTGTATCACCTTAACTTTCAGAGCCTACCAGGTAAGAGCTCACAACAGAGAAAATAGGACAGAGAAGTAAGAAAGGAAGAAATGGAAAAAGGCTGGGCAAGTATAGCATGTGACTTTGTGAGAGAAGGGAGACCCTGTTCCTAGGGTGGAGGCCACTACTTTCAAGCGCATTTACCCCCAGATGTCCCAGATGTGTCCCTCACCATGTCCTATGGGGTCATGTAATTGTGCAGGTACCTGGACCCTGCCCTTGACTCCGTGATGATGGATTGCAGAGCTGCTAGAGACTTGCTGTATATGCAGGTAGGAAGGGCTACATTGGCCAATTGGGTTGGAATTGTAAAAAATTTCCTAGTGGTTGAGATTTCTGTCTCTAAATAGAATAGGCAGATTCATAGAGACAAACCAGGCAAGTTACCAGGGATTGGGGAAAAGAAGAAACAAAAGTTCTCATTTAATGGGTGCTGAGGGTTTTTTGTTTTGCTTTTTTCTTTGTAGCTTTGTAGCCTAGGCTGACCTTGAACTTTTGATCCTCCGCCTTAGCCTCCCAGGTGCTGGGATTATAGACCTGAGTTGTCATGCCCTTCTTCAGTACAGAACTTTTGTTGGGAACCATGAGAAGCTTAATATAGACAGTAGCGATGATTTTATAAGATTGAATGTATATAATCCACTGAATTTTACATTTAAAAATGGTTAAAGTGATCGGAGTTATGTGCATATATTTCATCACAATTTTATAAAGAAAACCAAAACCAAAATAGTAGTGGCAAGAGAAATTGAGATTCAACTCTGAATCTGCAAGTGAAATGCTACCATTTAAGTTAATTTGATGAACCTAGAAAGAATGTTAGATTTTACCCGAGCCTCCATTGCCAAGTGCACCATAAAGCTAAGCAGAAGAATTTGTGTTTCATTCCCTCAAAGTCTAGCTCATTTTGGAGGCAGGTGTTGCATGTAATGCATTTGAGTTGATGATTTGTAAACCCATAAACTGGCTTAATTCTTTTCAGAGCTAGACAGAATCAACCATGTTACATATTTAAATCTCAAGTGTTTGAGGATCCTTGGTCCCCTGGTGATGATGTTGAGTCTCCATCAGTACTTACTGCCATGGTTACTGTTTCTTTACTCACTTGTTCGGGTCTTTGACCTCACTGCCCTGTTCTAACAGTCTGTACAGGGCTCTAACGCCAAATGAAATAAAAAAATAGAAAGATTAGTTCTTCATGTTTGTGCGGATCCCAGACTGGTGTGGGATGCAGTTTCACTTTTGAGAAAGTTGGTACCAGGTGTTGTGGTGCACACTTGTTCATCTCAGTATTTAGGAGGCAGAAGCAGAAGAAATGATGTTAGGTTCTAGTCCAACCTGGTCTGTGTAGCAAGTTCTAGGTTATTTAGGGCTGCAAAGTGGGATCATATCTAGAAAAAAAAGGGGGGGGCTGGAGAGATGGCTCAGCGGTTAAGAACACTGTTCTTGCAGAAGACCTGGGTTTGAATCCCAGCACCCACATGGCAGCTAACAACTGTCTGTTAACTCCAGTTCCAGGGGATCCAATAGTCTCTTCTGTCCTCCGTGGGCATTGTGCGACATGGGTACAGTTACTTACATGCAGGCATAACATTCATACACATAAAATAAAAAGAATAAATAAAATATTAAAAAAGGAAACATTGGTAAAAAGAGAAAGGTGGGGATAAGTAGCTGCCTACCTGGCAAGGATTCATCAGTTTGAGTGAGAGAAGGAAACTCGGTGTAGTGGTAGGGTCTAGGTTTTGTCTAACTTTTGCCACCAACTTGCTGAACCATCTTCAACACCATAAACTCTCTGAACCTTAATTTTCTCTATATAATATGATGATAATAGTTTCCATCCCACAAATAGCTGGGGAAAAGTCAGTTAATTTTGTAATTTGAATGTGAATGTCCCCCGTGGGCTTATGTGTTTGAACTCTTGTTCCCCAGCCACTGGTGCTGTTTGGAAGGTTATGGGACCTTTCAGAGATGGGACCTTGCTGAAGGAAGTGGGTCACTGGGGACAGGCCTTGAGATTATATAATTCATCTCATTTTCTATCCACTCTGTTTCCTGGTTGAGGAAACAATGTGACCAGTTGCCTCCTATTCCTGTTGTTGTATGTTTCTTTGAGAATGATGGACTCCCTTTCCTAGAATGATGGGACCTTTCTCAGCCAAGATAGGCAAGACCCAGGGACTTAGAATTCCAGAACTTCACTGACCACCAAAAGTCAACCTGAGATAGTGACTCTGAATGCGTTGTCTCACACAGATGAAGATTAAAGACGGGGCACATGTGGGAGAAAGCAAAGCAAAAGCGAGCTTTGTTAAGAAACACTAAGGAAAAGTAAGAGAAATTCCCAAGAGTGGGAAGGGTTCCCAAGAGAGGGGAAAATGGTTGTGCTTGTTGTTTAGGGGCTTTTCTAGGACTTATGGCAAAAACTGGACAGAGACTGAATCTCTATTAAGATTCATTTGTTCCCTGAGCATATGGCAGGTTGAATCAATTAGAGTGTGTCACACTTTGTCCATGTTCCTCTGGCCCAACTAGGGAGAGGATCACTCTTTTCATGTAATGCCCACCCATTAGAGGTGGTTAAAGCCCCCCTCTGACTATCTATGACTTCTACTTTATTTGTTGCCAACTTTAACTGTCTGCTAGCTGTTAGCTCTGGCTGGTGCTGCAACCATTGGTCAACCTTGCAGATGTCTTGCCGGCTGCTAATCAAGCTCTGCCCTCTTTCTTCTCACATTTATGTGGCCAGTTTGTAGTTTCACTGTTGTGAGGTACTTCACCAGAGACAAGCACTCAAAGTTTTGCCGAATGAAAGTCTTTTACTAGCTGGTCAGTGACTACACAAAGGTGTCAGAACCCAAGTGCAGCCCCGAGCTGTCTCTAGGGTGAGCTTTTAAACAGAAAAACCATAACCAAGGGTGAAAAGTTTAAGTTCCCAAGCTTACAGATGAAGAGCTCCCTTAACAATTTCTATCCTGTTAAGCAACAATTGCTATTTTGCAGGAGCAAGCTAAGCATGACCTACAGAAGCCATAACAGTTAGCAGGTGCACTCTGGGACGTGCTGACCTGGTCCCCAGACAACTGGGGTACTGTTGATGTATATTCCCATACCCTGGGCCAACTGCCTGATAATTTCAGAGGCTAGCGTCAGCCTAAGCTTCAACATGGCATAGCTGTGGTCAAGAAGGTGCTATATCACATTGCCATGGAGTTTACTCCAGTCACAGCTACCTTGGAGCTCCTGTTCTTCTTGGTTATCTCATATTTAATCATCTGAGGTGGCCTTGGATGGTTTTCTTTCTGAAATAGATGGAATCTTCTAGTTAGAAGCCATCCTTACCAACAATTTAGTCTGTCACATTTAACAACATTGAAAACAAGAATATGTGAATGGGCAGCAGTGCCTTGCATTCGTTTTTTGGAAAGCCAGCCTGCTGACCCTGACCTTGCTTCTTAGAGCCCCTGTTTTCTCTCTTATCTGATCTGCTTGGTTGTCTCATATCTATCTGGAAACCCCTTTTGTTTATCTTTCTCAGCATTCCTGACCTCACTGCCTTAACCCTATCTTCCTTTTATCCCCAACTCTGTTTTCACTATAACAACTGTGATAAACGTGTAGTTATCAACCTGGGTCCTGTTCTAGTCACTTTTCATTGTTGTTATAAAATACCATGACCAAAGGCAACTTGGGAAGGAAAGGATTTATTTCCTCTTACACATTCAAGGCACAGTCCATCTTTGAGGGAACTCAGGCAGGAATTTGGATGCAGGCACTAAAGCAGAGACCATGGAGGAATGTTGCTTATTGGCTTGCTTCTTCTGTCTTGCTTAGTGACCTTTCTTGCACAGCCCAGGCCACAGCCTAGGGATGGCACCACCTACAGTGGGCTGGGCCCTCGCATATCAATCACCAATTAAGAAAATGCCTCACAAACATGACCATAGGCAATTCTGATGGAAGGAATTTCTCAATTGAGGTTCCTTCTTCCCAGATGACTCTAGTTTGTATTAAATTGACAAAAACTAACCAGAACAGTCCCTCTTTTCCTACTTCCTATGAAGCTGCTCCTGCCTTATTGTGCTGGGCTATATCCCTCAAACTGAAAGCTAAAATAAACCCTCCTCCCCTCAAGGTGCTTCTTGTCAGGTATTTAATCACAGCAACAAGAAAAGTACCGAATACAATGAGAAAACCTAGATAAAACAAATTCTCCACAAATACTATATTTTTCTCTTCTCCAAATCTCATATCCTTTCCCCCCTAATCTAATGGCAGTATCAGTAATGTATTCCTGACATACTGGAGATGAAGCATACCCTTCCAGCATCACTCAGGGATGTAGCACACAGGCATATCTTCGGACTAAAGTGTAAATATGCTCTGATAATTGGCAGACAGTTGTTGGGTGTTCACTGTACCTGGGACACTGGGCAAAACATGCTGAGGTGAAGGGCTACAAGGTCTTCCCTTGAGGGCTTGATAGTCAAACTGAATAATGGCAAATGCTTTTCAATCATGAAAAATCAGAGTTGCACAGACATAGTGGACACAACTGGTGAGGTGCATGCCTCACCAGGATCAGGCTGGCTCAAGGGAGAGGGAAGTGGGTGGCAGGGGAGGTGAAGCACAGACTGAAAAGTGCCTGGAGCAGGAACTGCATGCAGCAGGGCAGTCTTATTACTTTTTTTAGGTTTTATTTATTTTTTATTTTATGTATATGAGTGTTTTGCCTGCATGCATGTCTGTGCACTGTGTGTATACCTGATGCCTGTGGAAGCCAAAAGAGGGCATCAGATTCTCTGGAACTGGAGTTACAGAGGTTGTTAACCACCGTGTGGGTTCTGGGAACCGAACCCCAGTCTTCTGCAAGAGCAGCAAGTACTCTTAATCACTGAGCAATCTGTCCTGACCTTCAATTTTAATTTTTTAATTAAATTTATTTATCTATTTACTTGTGTGTGCATGTACACTTATGGAGATTCAGAGAACAGCCTGTTTTCTCTTTCCACCATGTGGGTTCTGGGGGTTGAACTCAAGTCTTCAAGCTTGGAGGCAAAGACCTTTACCCACTGAGCCATCTCCCTGACCAAATTTTAGGGGTTTTTTTTTTTTGGTCTTTTTAAGAGCCCTGTAACCCCAGCTGGCCTGAAACTCGCTATGTAGATCAGGCTGACCTTGAACTCACAGAGATCTACCTGCCTCTGCCTCCTAAGTGCAGGGACCACAGGCATGCACCACCACACCCAGCTACCAATTTTAGTTTTTTAATGTAAAATTTGTTTTTGTTTCACAAATTTAAAAACTGGAGAACTCAAAACCAAAAATAAATATTACCCTAGATCTCAAATCATCTATGATTTGAAAGTGTGAACTTAAAAGTATGAACTTTTTGTTGTGTTTATTTCATATGTTTCATTTATATATGCGTTCATTTCTTTGATTCATATTTATAAATCAAAATATAATTTATTTTGTTTTATGTTTATTTTTGGTGCTTTATAAAAATTTGGATCTGGAGTCAGGGATGTAGTTTAGTTGGTAGATTTCTTGCTGGCTAAGTTCTGGGTTTGATCCACTGCATTGCATTAAATAACATGGGTATGAAATGGTGAGGGTTCAGTGGTTAAGAACACTTGTTGCTCTTGCAGAACATCCAGACTCAGTTCTCAGCACTCTCATGGCAGTTCACAACCTTCGGTTACAGGGGATCTGACACCCTCTTTGGCCTCCAAAGGCACTAGACATGCACATGATGCATGTATATGCATGCAGGCAAACACACATACACATAAACAAAAAGCAAAAAAACTAGTGTGTTGGTACACACCTGTAGGTGGAGGCAGGAGGATCAGAAGTTCGAGGTTGTCTTTGGCTCCATAAATGAGTTAAGGTCAGCCTGAGATATATGAGATATTATTTTAAAGCAAAAAAAAGTTAATCTGTTACTATACTTGTTTATAACTTTATATTCTTTTTTAAAATTTTTGTTTATTACTTTTATTTTATGTGTATGCATGTATTGGCTGCATGCAGGTAAGTGCACCAGTGTCATGCAATGCCCATGGAGAACAGAAGAGGCTGTTGGATCCCCTGGAACTGGAGTTACAGACAGTTGTTAGCTGTCAGGTGGGTGCTGGGATTCGAACCCAAGTCTTCTGCAAGAACAGCCAGTGTTCTTAACCGCTGAGCCACCTCTCCAGCCCCAATATTATATATAAATTTTAAGATTAGCATAACCTAATATTTGATTATACACACACTCAATTGCCTATTTTGAGATACTTCCTAACAGCACAACCTCACAGGATAGCTGTAAGGATGGACCTGTGAGCTTAAGAACCTTGTCTAGTGCATAGAAAGCACTGTACAACCATCCATCAGGGCCCACAGAGGACGAGTCCATCTCTCTTGGATACCACAATCCAGGGATGCTCAATCACCTTTTGGAAAATGGGGTAGTATTTCCAAATAACTTACACATGTCCTCCTATAGACCTTGAACCTCTAGTTTACTAACACTATCTAATACTATGCCAATGTTATATAATCAGCTGTTACAATATATTGCTTAGGAAGCCATGATGAGAAGGATGTCTGCATATGTTCATTGCACATACCTTTTTTCCTGAATATTTTTCATCCATAGTTGGTTTAATTCAAGAATGTGGCACCCATAGACTCAGAGGGCAGACTATGTATGTGTTTGTTAGTATTAGTAAGTTTAAATTTTATTATTATAAACAGTAGCAGTAATAGCTTTGTCCATATGTTTTTCCCATGCCTGTATTTATGAGTTTGTTTGTTTGTTTTTGTTTGTTTGTTTGTTTTTGAGGCAGGGTCTCATCATGTAGTCCTGGCTAGCTTGGAACTTTCTATGTAGACCAGACTGGCCTGGAACTCACAGAGATCCACCAGCCTCTGCCAGTGCTGGGATTAAAGGTGTGTGCCACTGTGGTCTACTGTATTTATGTCTCTTATAAATGCTTTTAGATTTTTATTGCCAAATTACCCCTAGAAAGTGGTACAATTAAACCCATCACTCCTATATGGAAAATAGTGTTTCCCTAACCCCTGGTCATTCTAATTGTCTATGTTTTAGTCTTGTTGTTAAGAGGCAAACAATTCTTTGATTACTAGTAAGTCTAAAAAAATATATGTATATGCCATTTGGAATTCTGTTTGGTTGATAACCAATATATATCTTCTGTCAATTTTTGGTGTTGTTTAGATTTTTCCTATTGTTGTCTATAAATGCTAACCCTTTGCCTAGTTTACTACCTGCTTATTAGTTTTGATTTTGGTTTGTTTTGTGTAGAGAAATTTGTATTTCCATATAATTATGTGTGGCAATTTCTGCATTTTACCATTATGTATTAAAAATATAGTCCTTGCCTCAAGATCAGATAAACATATTCATCTTTCTTTTTTTCTACTTTAAAAAGCAGATTTTTAAACTCCATAGCAAATCCAGGCCAGCTAGGGCTACAGGGAGACCCTGTCTCAAAAAGAACAACAACAACAAAAAAGCAGGTTTATTTTATTTTCAATTGTGTGTGTGTGTGTGTGTGTGTGTGTACATAAATGCTGGTGTCTGTGGAGGCCAGAGGCATTGGATGCCCTGGAGCTGGAGTGACAGGCTCACTACGTGCTAGGAATCAAACTTAGGTCCTCTGCAAGAACAGTACCAACTGTTAATGGCTGAGCCATCTCTCAGACCTCTCTTTTCTGTTTTAATGGTGTTTTATACTTCACTCTCTCTGGAAGTTATTTGACTGGATGGTATGAGAAGTTACTTTTATTTTCTTTGCCAAGTATGTTAATTTACCCCAAACTATTGAATAATCTTTTTCTTACTAATTTAAAAAGTAACCCTTAGCCAGGGGTGGTAGTGCATACCAGTAATCCAGGCACTTGGGAGGCTGAAGCAAGAGGATCATGAGTTTGAGGCCAGACTGGGCCACGTAAGGAGTGCTGAATAGTGAGACTGTCTGAAAAAAGCTGAAACAACAGCAAAAAGTAACCTGTATAATGTGTTAAATCATTATATAGATTCACTTGGGTCTGGTTTCTGGCCCTTTATAGATTAATTCATTTTTGCAAAGATGGATAATTGTACAGTTTCTTTTGTTTTAAGGCAGTACAGGATATTGAAATCGAATGGGCAAAGCCCACACAGGCACAGAGGGAGGAATTAAAGGCATTCCAGAAGGAAGAGCATCAAACAAAGGTGAGTTAGTGTGGTACTAAGAGATGTCCCTTGGAAGGGAGTTCAAGACACACATTAGAACAAAGCGATTTCTACAATTCATAAACCTGTCAGATGCCAAAAGTAAGAATACATTCATTGATTTTTCTGGTGCTATAATTAGTAGAAGTTTATTGTATAATGATTCTAACTAATACAATATATTGAGTCTTTGGCCAAGTTAATTAATATAGATCCTCTACATTATTTTCAATAACTCCAGAGTATCCTATTTTATGATTATGCTATCATTTAGACAGCCAGTTTCCTTTTATTGAAGTCAAGTTGTTAACAGCTTTTGCTGCCATAAATCATTTTGGCAGCAAGCACCACGAGGCCCATGACTATATCTAATTTATACCTACTCTTTCTGTTCCCAGCACCTGATACAGGTCAGGGTGAAGGTCCCAGTACACTGCTGTCAGCATGTCCATCTTTAAGCATGTATTCTATTATCCTTTAGAATATATTTCTAACATTCACTTTCAAAGCTTCCATGAAGGTGGTAGAAAGTCACACACCTACCTCCAACCTGAGCGCTAAGACATATTTTAATGACAGAATGGCCTCTGCTTCATTGTATTGAGTTTTTAATTCTTTAGAATTTGCTAGTGTTCATAGCTACAGTAGAAATATTGAACAAAATGCAGTCAATGGGAGGTGGAGATGGCTCTGTGGGGAAAATGCTTGCCATGTCGTCACCCATCTCCAGCATCCACATAAAAAGCTGGGCATGGTGATGTGCACCTATAATTCCAGACAGATAAAGGAGGCAGATAAAGGAAGATTCCTAGGGCTCACTGGCCAGCTGCTAGCTCCAGATTCAGTCTCAAAAATAAGGTGGAGAGTGACTGATGGAGACACCCAATAAATATCATTGATCTCTGGCCTTCTCTCTGTCTCTCTGTCTCTGTCTCTCTCTGTCTCTCTCTCTCTCTCTCTCTCTCTCTCACACACACACACACACACACACACACACACTTTCTCTCACACACACAAAATATCACGTGGTAATAAAAAGTCCTAGATAGATAACAGGGAAAGATGCTGGGTCCTCAGATGTATTCAAATGTCCTCTGTCCTTAGGTTACTGTAGAGAGAAAAGCTAAACTTTAAAGTGACATTAAAGTATTCCCTTGGCATTTGGGAGCAGCTCACTACTGCTCTTAGAGAGCAGACCTACTCCTGCTTTCATTCCATTGCCATTTCCGCAAAAGCTTTCTCTGACAATTTATGCCACCATACTTAAAACCATCCAGAAAAAAATTGATCTGCTTGTTTTCCCTTCTACACAAATCTCTCAGCTTCATTTTATCAAAGGATGGCATTTTAAAAGTTTGTTTACAGATTTTTATTTTTTATTTTAATTATATGTGTGTGTTTGGGTGTGCACTTGAGTGCAGTACCTGTGCAGGCCAGAAGAGGGTGGAGTTACAAGTGGTTGTGAACTGCCCAAAGTGGATGCTGGGAACTGAACTCTGGTCCTCTGGAAGAGCAGTAAGTACTCTGAACTGTTGCGCCATCCCTCCAGGCCAGGATGACACTGTTTACATTGCCATTGCAATGTACCAAGATAGAGTCATTATTCTTTCATTTTCTCACCTCTACTCTGTTCATTCTGAGTACTGTAACAGGAGCAGGGTCACTATGGGGGGTAGGGGGCAGGAACAGCTCCTTCTAGTGCAGGACTCACTGCCACCTGACCACCACTGCTCTCCCAGCCCTGCTCTCCCAGGGCTATTGTCTGCACCCAGGGCCTCATTGTGTTAATGAGTGTAGTATAGAGACAAAGGTATGCGGCTATAACTTGCCATCATGCGCTTTACATCTGTGACAAGTGGTCTCATGCCTCCTCCTATCCCTGTTCCACCTTGGAGCAGTTTTTGGAGCTGTCCCGGGAGGTCCAGCACTATGGGTGCATGCAACTGGATTCCTGTACCTGTGACCACCCGGAACCAGGCTGTGGGGCAGTGCTTTCTATTGGCAATAGCGAGATCAACTGCTGCATAACTCTACCTGACGGCCAGACCCAGGATGTCATTTTCCATATGAACAGGGTGAAGTGCTGGCAGGTCACTTTCCATGTGAGTATCTGGCCCTTGTTTCACCCATGATTTAAAGTCTCCTTCCTGTGACCTGAAAATTCCATTGCTATTGGGTGTCAATATTGGCCCTGGAGGGCAGGTGAATCAGTACCCTGAGTGGAGAGGCATCTCAGCCATGCTCAGCATCACCTGATGGTGAAATCTGTCTACAGTGGGAGCAGACTTCCCATGGCAAGCAAGAGAGACATCCACCTTCCCATCTTCCCATGGGTTTTGCTGTGGCTTGGGGATGGACAGAGTCATAGCACAGAGGGTTACAACAGTAACACTTATTGAGCACTTGCACGTGTTTAGGGCCACCAAGAAATGTGACACTGCCCAGTAGAGCCCTTCTGAAGGAGGCCCAGCCTCATGTTTATGTTTCCTCTTTCTAACCCTCACACACACACACACAACCTTTAAAATTGCTGTGCTGGCTACTATGTTGAGCACTGCCAGGTCTGTTATTTAACTGAATTCTGACAAGTCTTCAGTGGACAAACTGCCATCCTCCTGTACATATAGGACATTAGTAGAGGACAAAAATTATAGAACAAGTGTGAGTCCTATTTTTTAAATCTATGAAAGCTACAGCCATGTGCTACTAAATGTAACACTCACCACCTCTCTACCATTTAACACTGCCAACCATTTCTTCCTCTTTTTTTTTTTGAGGCAGGGTCTCCCTCTGGTCCCAGCTGACCTGGAATTTGCTATGTAGACCAGGCTGGCCTTGAACTCACAGAGATCTGTCTGCCTCTGCCTCCTGAGTGCTAGGACTAAAGTCGTGCACCACCATGTTCAGCTTTCTTCCTCTTTAAAAATAAAATATTTTATTCAGTATTTTTTCATTTTCTCTATATGGGTGTATTGCTTGCATGTATATTAAGTGCATCCGTGTCATGCAGTGCCTACATAGGTCAGAAGAGAGCATTGGAGGCCCTGGAACTGGAATTACAGCTGATTGTTAGCTGTCATGTGGGTATGGGATTTGAACCCGGGTCCTCCGCAAGAGCAGTCAGTGCTCTTAACTGCTGAGCCATCTCTCCAGCCCCTCTTCCTCTTTTTTTAATTAAAATTTATTTTTATTTTATATGTAGGAGTGCTTTGCCTGCATGTATGTAAGTGCACCCATATGGTATAAGCCCATGGAGGCCAGAAGAAGGTGTCAGATCCCCTGGAACTGGAGTTACAGCTGATTGTTAGCTGCCATGTGGGTGCTGGGAACCAAACTCAGGTTGTCTGTGAGACCAGCCAGTGCTCTTAACTGTTGAGTAATCTCTCCAGCCCCCATTTCTTCCTTTAAAAATTTTGAATATTATTATTATTATTAATTATTTGTGTGTGTTATATTTGGAGGGTACATGTGACACCAGCACACATGTGGAGGTCAGAGGACAACTTTGTGGAGTTGGTTCTCTCCTTCTATCCTTATGTGAGTTCTGAGGATAGAACTCAGGTTATCAGGCTTGAATAGCAAGCACCTTTACTGCCCCCCATAGGCATCTTGCTGGTCCCCATTTCTTCCTATTTAAGACTCCCTCTCCTTCCTCCCCTATACCTGTGTGCTACTTCCCCTGCCCCAGGCTTTCTGAAGTGTGAACATTTCCTGAGCCTCCATTTCTAGCATCTTTATGTATTCTCTGAAATCAGGTAGTTACTCAGATTTCCCTGAGGCCCAGCATCTCTTACCTCCAGTCACCTTCCTCTGTGTTTCAGGGACATGGTAGACTCAGCTTCTCCCTGAAGCAGGTTCATCCTTCCTGCTCATGCTCCTCCTGGGTGTGTCCTTTCAGAAGATGGGAATTCCCGTCTTTTTTCTCTGCTCTTCCCACATGGTTAATTGCTGATGGAGAACTAAGCACCTACCACCTTGCTCTCCCTCAAGATCCTCTCTTTCCCTCCTTGTTCATGGCTGGTTCTCCACATGTCCTGCATGATGAATGGGGCCATCTCCTAACCCTTCCTCTCTCCTACTCAACCCTTTAGTATCAAAGAAAATACATTGTGTGATTGCATTGCTTTTAAACTCACTGAAACTTTGTGGCCCCTAATTCGATGGCTCTTGGTCAACGTTCCACATATATGTAATGTACTATCTTCTGTTGTTGGGTAGAGATTCTGCACATGGTAATTGGGGGATTTACTTGTTTCTCACAGCATGATTCTGTGAAAATGCATCCTATCACTGTATATATTAAAAATGTGTTTCTTTCTGTGTGATATGGGTATACAAAAGTTTGCTCATTCATGCACTGAAGGCTGTCTTGTTTCAGATTTTGAGCTACTATGGCTCTTATGACTATCATGGCTACTCTAAGTGCACATGTACTGGCTTTTGTCAAATACAGGTCTTCATTTCTCTGGGGTACACACCCAAGAGTGCAATGGCTTGACCATATGATAATTACATGATTAGTTCTCCATTTTTAAAGATTTATTTTATTTTAAACTATGTGTATGTGTGTATCTGTATGTGTGCATGTGCACATGAGTGCAGGTGCCCACGGAGGCCAGAAGAGGGTGTTGGATCCCTTGGAGCTAGAGTCACACAGGTGGTTGTGAGTGTCCTGATGTGGGTGCTGGGAATTGAACTTGTGTCCTTTTAACATTTCTCCAGCCCTGCATGATTAGTTCTTTTAAAAAACTGCCAAACTCTAGCTGGGCATGGTGGCATCTGCCTTTAATCCCAACACTCAGGAAGCAGAAGTAGGTGGTTCTCTTGAGTTGGAAGCCTAGTGAGGTCCAGGCCAGCTGGGGCTACATGAGACCCCGATTCAGAAAAATAAATTCACAATGAAGAGAAGGAAACTACCAAACTTGTTTTGAGAGAGACTGAACCTTTTGTGTTCCCAGCAGCAGGGCAGGAGTGATCCAGTTCCTTGGCATCATTGCCAGCATTCGGTGTTGTCACTATTTTGTATTTCAGTCTTTCTGATAGGTGTTAGTATCTCATTATGACTTTACTTCCTACCACGGCTGACAAGGTTGAACACCTTTCTATGTGCTTATTTGCCATTTGTATTCTTTATGGAATATCTCTTCATTTCTTTTGTCCATTTTCTAATGCTGTTGTTTGACTTCCCCCTCCTTTTATTTTTTTCAATGAACTACTAGACCACTGAACTACATACCTTAATCCAAGGCTCAGGGTCCCAATGATGTGTTTTGAGAACTCAGTGTGTAATCTAGATGCTAGATCCTCATTGGTCACATGGTTTAAAATTCCATCCCCTGTTCTTTTCTCTGTCCTCCGCCTGCCTGCTTCTCCCCCCCCCCATTTTCTTCTCCCTCTTTTTCCTTGTTCTTCTTCTCCACCCCCTTCCTTTCACTCCCACCCCTGTTTTTTTTTTTTGTTTTTTTTTTATCTTCCTAACTGTTTTTGACAGGGCAAAATTTTTTAACTTTGTTGAAGTCTAATGCTTCAATTTCTTTCTTTTATGGATTGTGGTTTTGATGTCAAGTCTAAGAACAGTTTGCCAAATTCTAGGTCTTAAGCTTTTTTTTTTTTTTTCTATTGTATCCCCCTAAAAGTTTAGTCGTTGCAGGTTTTACATTATGACAATGACCATGTTGTGAAGAGCATGAAACCGACGTAAGGCTCCCTTCTTCGCCTCTGGAAGTCCACACCATTTGTGGAAAAGGCTATCGTCCTCAGCTGAGCTGAACTGCTTTGTGTCTTTATCAGAGTTCTCTCTGAGGCGCTATTGGCAGTTAATGGCTGCTTGGGAAGGGGGAATCATTACCTCAGTAGCCACTGGTAATTTGCCCATTCCCCAGTAAATAAGCCCTGACTCGTGGGCATGCAGACAACACCCTATTCTGTACATTTCCTATTAATGGAACATATGATGATGAAATGCAGCCTTTTGACTAGCTTTTTACCCTGCATAATGTTTCCAAGGTTCACCTTTTCATAGTAGGTACATAGCCACACTTTATTCTTTTTTGCAGGCAAGTGTTTTGCTGTATAGATAAACCACATTTAATCCACTGATCCATTGCTCCATTGGTGGACATTTGGATTGTGTCTACCTTTTGCCTGTCATTAATTGTGCTGTGGTAAACATCTACATACAACTTTGTGTGGTTGTTTCTTTGGATGTGGGTATAGAAGTGGAATGACTGGGCCAAATGTTCATTCTGTGCTTAATTTTTGGAAGAACTGCCAGTCTATTTTCTGAAGTGGCTGTACTACTTTATGTCTCTGCCACAGGATTTCTCCTTTCTCCACAACCTCGCCAACACTTATTCATAGCGTGATTTTAAGAATCATAGCCAACCGAATAGGTATGAAGTGGTATCTCATGGTTTTCTTTATTTCAGTCTTTTTTCTCCAAGTGCTTCATCTTGGAGACTTAGAACTGGTCTCAGGGTTTTCACACCACATATGCACAGATCGCATTCAGCTAAGAATCTGACAGGAGCTCTCCTGGTATTCTGCCCACAGATTCCAACTTCAACTTCTTTATGCTTTCTTCTTTCCCTTTCCCTCAACAGGGCCTCTGGGCTCAACTGGTTTCCCTCCCCTTGTGCTACATTTTAGAAATTCTCTCTAGGAATGAGGGCGATGATCCTGGGGCTCATTCATTTGCCTGCTTTCTTTCTGACACCTGCTGTTTAACATCTGAAAACAGGTATGCCCAGTTTGGTCTCCACACCGGTGCTGTGAGTCTAATATTTCTAGGATCTAAGTTGAACTGCATTATTATTTAGCTTTTGGAAATCTCTTAATGGAAGTCCGTTACTCTCAGGATGAAGTCTGAAATCCTTAGCTTCGTTTATAAACTCCAGGGAACAAAAGGGCTCACTGGAAGAATGTAAAGTATCTACAAGCCCAAAGGAAAGGAGGAAACAGAGGCTCAAGTGTCAGGAACCAAAGAAGCCCAGGGTTTCTGGGGAACAGGAACTCTGAGGATCTGCTCTTGGGTACCTCCATTCTGAAGTCAAGTGAGGGCACAATGTTTGTCCCATTGGCCTATGCTTGGGCATCCCCACCATCACCTGGCATTCTCTGACTGTTCTACATAGATTGCCTACAGTGAAAGAGAAATGGCTTTCCCAAGGGAAGTTGAGATTCTCTTACTAGGAGAAAGAGGGATAGATGCTGAATAGCAAAAACCCCAGCTTTGAAAGTCTGACTCTACCTCATCTCTCTAAACCTCCTCTCACACCTACCTCCCTGCTTGGGGCTCATGCCACAGCCATACTCCATTCCTCACTGTCTCCAACATGCCAGTCTCCCTCATGGCTCAGGAAATTAGCCCTTCCTTTTTCTCCTAACAGGAATCACCTTTCACCTTCTTCTTTAAGAACAGCCAACTAAGAACAGCTTCTCCTGCCAGTGCCCCTCCTTCCAGGATGCTTTCCTTTGCCCTCCTGGCCTGGGCTACAGCTGTTCTGTTTCCTTCCACAAACCTGTGCTTTAATGGCTCCTCCGGAGACTGACAGCTTTTGGGGAATAGGAAGCCCTGCTTATCTTGATATTATGTCCAATATATTAAAATCCACCTCAGCGCTATGTTTTCCTCTGTAGGGAACTCTGTTGGATATGGATGGGCCCCAGCGAACTCTCAGCCAGAACTTAGAGCTGAAATTTCAGTACAGGGAGGATAGCTGCTGGCAGTGGTTCGTTATTTACACCAAACAGGTGAGTTCTCTGACAGTGTGAAGACCCTTTGTGCTGAAGTGTTATCTTGCTGGCCAGGGTAAACGAAGCACATACCTAACCCAACTAGAGTAGGACACTGCACTTGTTTTGACTGAAATACTTGTTTTTTTGTGTGTGTGTTTTGTTTTCTTTTATTTTCCTAGTCACCTTATTTATCAATAAGAAGTGAATTTAGTTTCTGTGATAGCTAGCTTTCCATCATTATGACAAAATGCCCAAGATAAATCAACTTAAAGGAGGAAAGGTTCATTTTAGCGCACAGTTTCAGAGTTTTCCTTTCATGTTCACTCGGCCCCATCACCTTTGACAAGGCAGAACATCATGGTGAGAATCTCATGATAAAGCAAAGTATCTCAGCTCTTAGTGGCTAGGAAGCAAAAAGAGAGAGGAAGGGTGGGGCTCCTAGGTTATGCCTCCAAGGATCTACTTCCTCAAACTAGGCCCTACCTTTCAATTTCCACTACCTCCCAAAAGTACCATCAGCTAAGACCAGGCCTTCAGCACACAAGCTGGGAAACACTTAAGGTCTAAACTGTAACAGTCAGCAAGCAAATGGAGGTTCATCTAGCTAGTGTAGCCCAGGGATCAGCAAACTTTTTCTCAAAGCTTGCTTACAGGTCCAGATAGTAAGTATTGCAGGATTTGAGGCCCATATAATCTATGTTGCATCTATGAAATGCTTTTAAAAGCAGCCAGAACATATATAAACAAAGGGGCCTGGCTGTATTCTATTAAAACTACATTTTAAAATTGCTTGTTACAGTGCATTAGGACTTCTTCATATGTACGTATTGTACTTTCTCGTGTTTACTCCTCTATGACCCTCCACTGCTCCCCCTTCCCACCTCTTGCTGGTCCTCTTCCTCCCCACCAAACAGTTCTGTAATGTTTTCCATGTGCACTTGTGCTCACACACAGATGGGCCATATTTAAATCTAGTTTATTTAAGTCTATATTCTTCAGAAGCAAGAAAACATGTTTGTTTTCTCCCCTTTATCTTCTCTTGTTCCCCCTTAGATGACTCAAATCCCTTTCTCCCCTCCCCACAATCTCCCTTCTGTTTTCATGTCATATACATATATGTGTATTAGACACACACATCTAGATTCTACACATGAGAGAAAATATACAATATTTGTCTTCCTGAATTTTTTTTTCTTAACATGATGATTCTCCAGTTCTATTCATTTTCATGCAAATGACATTTTGTTCTTCTTTAAGGCTGAACAAAACCCCTTTGTGCATATATGTCTTGGCTATTGTGAGTAAATATAGATGTACAACTATCTCTGTAGTATGCTTAGATTCCTTTGGGTATATATGGCTAGAAGCAGTATGGAACAGTTATATTCTTTGAGGACTGTCCTTACTAATTTCCAGAGTTGCTGCAGTTGTAGCCTCACCAGCAGTTTGCTAGGTCTCTTTTCTCCTGGTATCCTCGCCAACATTTGTTGTCACATGTTTTCTTGATGACAGCCATTCTGACTGGGGTGAGTTGTAAATTAAAACTACTCAATGCAGTTTTAATTTGTGTTTCCTTGATGGCTAAGGATGCTGAACATTTTTTTTCATATATTTATTGGCTATTTGGATTTCTTCATTTGAAAACTCTCTGCTCAGTTTATGTGTCCACTTAATGATTTGTTTTCTGGTGTTTAATTTTTGAGTTCTTTATAGACTCTAGATATTAATCTACTGTAAGAACCATAGTTAACAAAGATCGCCTCCATTCTGTACACTGTGTATTCACTCTGCTGATTGTTCTCTTTGCTGTGCAGAAGCTTTTAATTTCATGCAATCCCATTTGTCAGTGCTGTTTTTTTCAGTGCTGGTGACTGAACCAAGGGGCCTCGTTTGCTCGTACTAGGCAAGCACAACTTCAGTTCTCGGCACTATCTCCTGCTTCTTTGGAGTTCTTTTCAGAAAAGCCCTTGCCTAGACATATGTCTTGAGGTATTTTTCTATATGTTTTTCTCTAGTAGTTTCAAAGTTTGGGGTTTTATATTAAGATCTTTGATCAGTGAGTTAATTTTTATACTGAATGAAAGATAGGGATCTAAGTTCATTTCTCTACATGTACATCTCTAGTTTTCCTGGCACCATTGGTTAGGTGACTTTTCTCCAATGTATATTTTTGATACTTTGGTTAAAAATTAACTGGCTATGTCTGTGCAGGGTTTTTTAATTTTTTTTTCTTCTGGGGCCTCTATTCTATTGTATTGATCTACACGTCTATTTTTGTGCCAGTACAATGCTGTTTTAGTAACGATGGCTCTGTAGTATACTTTGAGATCAGTTGTTGTTACAGCTCCAGCTTTGCTCTTTCTGCTTAGGATTGCTTTAGCCATCCAGGTCTTTGGTGTTTCCATATGAATTTTAGGATTTCTAGTTCATGAAGAATGTAATTGGGATTAAAAAAATTTTTTTAATCTTATTTATTTTTATTTTATGTGTATGCTTGTATTGCCTGAATATAGGTTAATGCACCTGTGTCATGCAATGCCCTCAGAGGTTAGAAGAGGCTGTCGGATCCCCTGGAACTGGAGTTACAGACAGTTGTTAGCTGCCATGTGGGTGCTGGGATTTGAACCCAGGTCTTCTGCAAGAACAGTCAGTGTTCGTAATTGGGATTTTTGACTGGGGTTGCATTGAATCTGTAGACTGCTTTTAGTATTAATACCATCTTCACAATGTTAATTCTGCTGATCCATGAGCCTGGGCTCTCTTTCTATTTTCTAGTGTCTTCAGTATCTTTCTTTAGTATTTTAAAGTTTTCACTTTAGTATTTTAAAGTTTTCTCTTTAGTATTTTAAAGTTTCACTTCAATATCTTTCTTTAGTATTTTAAAATTTTTTCTTG